ATCAAAAGAAAAAAAAAATATTTTTTTATAAAAAAAAAATGATTCTTTTAAAACCAAAGCAATTTCATATTTAAATAATGAAATTAACATTATTTCTAAATTCAATATTTTTTAATAAAATTTAATTAAGTATGTCTTTAAATCTTCTTATGTATAATAGTATTTGAAAATTTTTTACATACTTAATTAAACTTGACCTACTTAATTAAATTTCTTTTAAATTTTATAATGTTTTTAAATTTGAATTAAAAAAAATATTTATTTTTAGAGATACATATATTTTGAAAGGTGTAGCATAATTACATATTCTACAAGCTTATCACAATTTTTTAATTACATAATATTTTTGATACAAAAAAATATTTAAATTAATATCAAAAGATTTTTGGTAGCATAAAATATAAATGAAAATTAAAGAATTTATACAATCATATAATATTTATTCAAGATAAAAAATAATAAATAAAAAATAATAAAAAATCTCTTATTATTAATCTCATAGACTTTTTTAACCACTCTCTATATTAAAAAAAAACTATGATCATTTTTTTCTATAAATTTTATTAAAAATCTTCTAATCTCAAGTTTTTATGACTCTATATTTGTAATATTAGATTCTTTTACTAAGATAGCATATTTTATATCATATATAAAAACTATAAAAAATAAATAAATAATTAGATTCTTTTTTAAATATTTATTATTATTATTATTATTGATTTCCAAAGTATATTATATTAAATAGAAAGATTCAATTTTTATCTAGATTTTAAAAAATTCTTTTTAAGATATTAAAAGTAGACATAAAATTATCTTTAATCTTCTATCTTTAAATTAATGGACAAACAAAATAAGTGAATTAAGTATTATAGCAATATTTTAGATATATAATTAATTACTAGGAAGATAATTAAACAATTATTTTTCCATTAGCAAAGTTTTCTATAATAATATAATATATTTTTCTACTTAATAATTATTTTTTATACTAAATATGATAACCATCTATAACTTGATACTTTTGATTTTTCAAAAGTTGGTAATCTTACAATAGAAGATTTAAAAAAATAATAATAAAAGCTACATGAAATAATAAAGGTACAATCAATTATAGCTAAATAATGACAAAAGATCAGTGCAAATGTCTATTGCATGTTGACAATAAGATATAATTACTTCATTATAATATCAAGACTATTTGTCTTTGTAACAAATTGAATTACAATATACTTAATTATTTCTTATTAGTAAATACATTAATTTAGTTGTATATCAATTATACCTAGCAAAATCTATGATTATCCACCTTATATTTCTTCATCCATATAAGATAGTGGACTTTTTGAGAAAAAGACAAATATCACATCATATCATAGAAATAGGCAACAATGAAGAATTTGAAGTAAAAGAGATTTTAGACTTAAGGTAATGCCAAAATAGATTAGAATATTTTATGCATTTGTACAAATATAATACTAATGAATGCACAAAAGAGCTATATATGAATCTTATAAATACAGCAAAGAAAGTTGATACTTTTCATTAACAACATCTATCAAAATCAAGATAAAGAAATAAAAAAAAATCTTTAATATAAAACAAGAGAAGTTTAATAAAAAAATATTTTATCTTCTATTATTATTTGTAATTTTTTTTCATATTTGTGGCATTAAGAAGATAAAAAATCAACTAATAGATTTAACTTAAGAGCTATTCTTTGCTGACTTATTGAACAAGGTATTGAAATTGTTACAACTTTCAAGATATTGTAATAGATGTGAAGACATTGAAGAACATGTTTTTTTCTTAAATAGATGGAAAAATACAATGCATTTTGTATGACAACCTTAAAAGAGATTCTCAATGTTTGGTGATATTCTTTGAAGTAAAAATTACTTTTGATGGTATTCTAAATGTTTTATTTGAAGAAAGTTATAAAAGTTTTAAAAATAATATTGTAATATAGTGGTCTTTTTACCTTGATATAAGACACTATCAATGGTTGAGAAAACTTATCAATTATCTTTAAAAAGAATAAAGCTCAAAGTATGTATGTATCTAATATAATTTGTTGCAGCTTGGACTTTTTCAATATATAATGACTATTGCTTATCAAATATGATTCAAGAAGGAAAAATAATGAGATAAACATTAATATTGGCCTTAGTAATCAAGAAGATAAGAGGCATAAAGTAGAAATAAATATAAGTATATTTGATAATATTTTGTAGAAAAGCTTCATAGAAATTATATAAATACAAATTTGACTTTATAAGTATTTATAGGTAATTGGTAAGTTGAAAAATTGGCTAATAAGTTGGCCATGTATCACACATATTGACTATTTGTTTAACAAATTGGCTATTTGTCATACAAGTTGGATATATGGTGCAAATATAAAAAACATACCTTATAAGTTAAATATGTGTCCCATAAGTTGGACATATATTGGATGATTTATAAAATATTGTCACATAGAACTTTATTTAGATAGTATTTATGGAGGTAAAAATAAAATCTTTCTCACTTTTTTTAGTATCTTTTTTGTGTTCTTGTCTTAACTTAAGAATCTCTAATCTCTTTGTATTTGGCAATAGCAATTCTAATTTCTATCTTATTTGTATCTTTGATTTTTCTACTTTATTATTTTGAGTGTTATAAGAGTGTATTGTTTCTTTAAAGTTTTGTTATGATCATATCTTTGACACTTGGCTTTGATCTTTGCCTCCATGATGAATCCATTTGGCTTGATTAGTTATAGCTTGGTAAACACCCAAATCTTTTTTAGACTAAGGACTATTACTTGTGGACACACCATTATTTGTTGCACCAACAACTACAATAAGTATTCTTCTTCTAATATGTATAAGTGCTGCTAGAATTATTTAAGTTTTTTGTAGATGTCATTGTACAATGTGATAATATTTGAATCTTCAATTTTATTCAAATGTTTATCTTAATATACCAGTGTGAGGTTGACAATACCACCCATTGCTACACTTACTATCTCATAGATGCATGGAAGCTCCATTATTTTATAAAAAGTAACATGACTAATAATAATTTTAGAAATAAAACTAAAAATTTAACTATTAAATTTTTATATTCTAAAGCTGATAGAACATAAATAAATAAATGAAAAAAAAAAGACGACAGTATCCCACAATATTTTTTGGTTCTTAAAATACATTTCTTAAGAAATATAAATATAAAACTTTAAATTATGTGTAATTTTTTTAAAGTTATAAATATTTTAAAATTTATTTACTGTTTAAAGCTATGTGTATCTTAAAATAAAGCATTTAAATATATTTATATATTTTTTTAAGGTGTTGATAAAACATTTATTTGTTTCATTTGAATAACCTACAAAGAAATGGTCCTATTATAAATCTTTGACATTCCTAAGAAACTTATGTTGCATTTTTATTTCTAATTACCTCTTATTTTAATATTCCACAACTTTGTATCAAATTTTAAAATAAATTTACAATCATTGAAGTTCCCAACTATGCAATTTACTTTCGCATGTTTTCATCGATTCTTTCAATCTGTCACATGGTCAGAAACTTGTCATGAAGCTGAAACACTACTCTTTTCAAGTTATAACAAATTGGGTAGCTTCATAATTCCCTGTCACATCTCTTTTGTCCATGCACTAATTTAATTTAGAGTGTTTTTTTCCTAGAACATGATACCCTTTGAACATGAGACCTCCAACTCCCCACGTCATGAATCAGTCGAAATCCATGGCAATTTTAATGCGAAAAAGCCCAAGTCATGCACCTGTCTCTCAAAGGATCTCGATCGGATCATACAGATGCCTTGGAGGTTGCAGATGGCAGTGAAGTGCTGATCCTAGCGAGACGCTTTGCTTTCGTAGGCAGAAAGCAATTGTCATTGCTCCGAGTGCCATGGATCCGAGCTTGACAAAGGTGCACAATCGATCATCTGTAGCCGCCGACTTGGTTTGACAAAGCTGATCTGTCGACGATTCTCGTTCACCAACTTTTGAGACTAGGGGTGTTGCTGACAGCATTCCTCTGGCAGAAGCTTTTCGGGAGTTTTCAGTCTGGTTGGGCGGGCTATGTATGCCGCACCCACAACAGCTCAAGACTGAGCATCTGTCATGAGAATTTTAGTTGCAGACTGCATCTGAGGAACCAGGATTGAATGATTTTACCATTTACAGGTTGGAATATCTGCATGAGTCATAGTTTTCTGTGCTAAGTAGTTGCACCTCATATGATGCATCCATGGTGAGTCTCTCTTCGAGTTGGAAGAATCAGGGAGATTGTTCAAGGTGAATGAAAGCAATGTGAACAGGAGTGGAAGGCAGAATCAGAAAGGTTACGCTCTAACTTTAACAAGAGATTACTGTTCCAGAACATGTAACTCACACGCTCAAAGGAGTCCCCCTTTATCTGCAATTTTCAAGTGCCCTTACGATCCGGACGAGAGTACAAGCCACTCTTGCAGAAAATCCATGATCCTAAACTGTTTTTGAGCAATTGGAAGAGAGGTATTATTTGTAGGACAAATGATATATTTTCAGGGTATTAATATTTTGATTATCGACGCGCACTTTATTTTGGTTTTCAAGGATGGGAAGATGTCCATGCAATCCATGAACGCTTCCTAGAAAACAGCACCTGTAGACCAACTGTTGATACATGACAGAAATCCCGCCCACATCCTATCCCGGCCTCCAGGTGTTAACTCTCCCATTTCCCATGCATTCTGTAAAATTAGCCTCTTGCTCACAAGCACAAAGCTTGAAGCGGCCTCAAGGAAGCCAAGATTCTGTTCTACTGGAGTACCCACTGATCCCTAGCAATTAAAGCGCCTCATCAGGGCCAAGTCGACTGGCGCATGGATTTTGATGATCGGAGCTGTACCTGACATGCATGTACTCGATGGATACTGGACCACTTTTTGCTGATTTGGGTAGCTCTTCACTTTAACTTGAGCTCACTACCAGTTAAGTATAAAGGAGTCCAGTTCGCCCAAGTCATCCACATGCCTGCATTCAGTCGACTTTTCATGTTCTAGAAGGTGAAGAGGAGTATCAACGACTCGCGGCTTGATTAGAAACTAAGCTGTTCGATTTGAGACCGGCAGCATCCAGAACCAGCACCGTAGCAGCTATGGCAGAATACTCAACCTCCATTTTGACGTGTTTACTTGGGGTCTTGGTAAGAGCTAAACCTCCTCTTGTTCTGTTGGGAGTTTTGACGGTCTTTGACTTGAAACCACTGCACTATGATTTTGGAGCCCATCAGTCATCACCATGCCTGATTTCAATTGTAGGACGAAAACGCAAATGTCGTAGTAGAAACCCCTTTAAGTGTAGGACCACAACGCAAGCCAGTTTTGAAGTCCTTGGAATGCAACCTAACTTTTTTTAATATTTTGCTCATGATAGGTCGTGGCTGTGGCTACCAGCCAAGCTTTACATGTCCCTGCTTTAAGTCACTGGGAGAAGACTTTTCCCAACGTTGCCATACCCAGTTCTCTTCTCAGTTCTGTTTCACCAATTGATGGGACCGCTGAGGCGAACAGGATTGTCGACGAAATCATAAAACACGCCATCCAACATGGGCCCCAGTTCTGTGAAATTCTAGGTTCATTGTGCGACGAGAATGTAGAAATAGCACCTTACAACAGCGCCTTCACCAGCTCGTTTATTGCAGCTCACATAGCACCAGAGGGTCCGAGCCGCACATTGGGTATCAATACTATTAATGATTTTCAGTTTGATTTCTTTTTGGAAGAGAATCTTGTAAAGGGTGCGAAGATGAACCTCACCGAGAATCTTCACGATCCAATTCCCAAGAGAGCGTTTCTTCCCAAAGTGGTGGCGGACCTACTCTCCCCTCTTTCCACATCCAACTTGCCAAAGCTAAGGCAGACTTTCAACATTGGCGAGAATACTAAGATGGCTACCATCATGGGCACAGCAACATATCTCTGCGAGAACCCTCCTCTTCCAGGAGAAGAAAGAGCGTGCCCAACCTCAGTCGAAACCATGGCCGAATTCGTCGCATCTCAGTTAGGAAAGAATGTGAAGTTGCTTGAAACTAGGGGAGCTCCAGCAAATGCACCAGTGGAGAAGAAACCAGTAACAGTGGAGGACTTCACCAAGCTTTCTCTCGAAGAAGGAAAGAAAATTGTCATTTGTCACAATTTGATGTTCCCTTCGCAGGTGTACTACTGCCACCACGTTAAAGGCACAAAGGTGGTCCAAGCGTCTCTAGCAGCTGCTGATGGTTCCACTATTTCTGGTGTGGCTGTGTGCCATTTGGATACCACCATGTGGAGCTCAGAGCATCCTGCATTTGCAGCTCTCAAAATTCCTCGCGGCGCTGAAGCTTGCCACTGGACTGCCCAGAACGATTATATATGGGTGCCATCGCAGCTGTAAAATTGCTAGAGCATGGGGAGTTTTTCGAGCCACAGAATACCAGAATTTTTCAGTTTTCAATGTGTCGGCTAACATAAAAGCCTCGGCATCGCTCATCATTTTCGGTTTGTCAGCGTCACTGCATCTTTAGTATCATAACCTAGCCTCCATACTGGCATAGGCTTTTAGCATTTTGACAGCACAGTTTTTTGTAGCATGCTAGTTACAGCCGTAGTACTGAGCGCATTCTAAAGCATGATCCGAAGTGTACACCATGTGCCTTCCAGCACTCGGTGGGGATTCACTTTAGTTGTGCTATACTTAAGCAAGTGCCTTTCTAAGAATAGTAGCTCTAAATGAGATTGTCAAGAACCTTCGTACCTATAACTTTTGCAATAACATATAATGCATATTATATCCCTCTTCTACTATTCGCTTCACATGCACTCTCCTGGTGCAGTTCAGAGCTCACACAGCCGAATCTCCATGCACATAAAAGTGTACCATCCTATAGGTCTTCCCTTCAGTTTGCATTTGCTGGTTCCTTGATCTGATCTGATCTGATCAATCATATTCACGATCTATATAATGTCCAAGTTTTCTTTGTTGGTAGTGCCAACAGTTATCGAGTTTTTATATCATGGTTTTGCATCAATTCCGGCAGACCGAACTAAACTCTAACTAAAATTGAATAGGACATCTATAAGTTTCAAAGACGTATTTTAGAATATAATCATTAATTATTTTTTAGCAAAAAAACCAAATGGCAGAGACTATATCCTGAGGCACTATATCCTGATATACGTAACCGTCTTTAAGCACAAAGAAACTGAACTATCTGTGTATAAGTCGTACCTGTTGCACACGGAAAGAGCTTTGCTGATGTGCTCAAGGAAAAAATTGCGAGAAAGAAACGGCAGATAGAGACAACTTAAAATATCACATCTTGTTTCAATATGCAGTTGCATATGTGCAAATAGTGAACACTTGGATGTAGTACATGCAATCGTACGCCAGTCATGTCCTTCGCTGCGAGTACATGTATGGAACTTCATCTTCACTTTATATACCTCAATCACCAGGTGCCTGCAGTAAAACACGAATCATAGTAAATATTTCTGCGCTTTGAAAATGACGACTATGACAGTCACATCGTAAACTGCGACAGCTGTTCACGAGATCCACCCTTCAAAATACCGATTGGACAATGCAGTATGCAGAGGACAATTTCTTCAATTTACCGGAATGAACGCTCCTGGGTAGAGTCAGTGGTATAGTAGCACTACCAATGGTGATATTAAAAGGTACCAACATATTATCAAAAAATCTCATAATTTTTAAGAAATATCTCTCAGAAAAGAACCTACAAGCAACCTGAAGAGTAAATGCGGACTACAAAACATTGATATTGATTACATACATGATGTAACAGAAACGACCTCGCATTACCACTTTGAATAATTGGAGGCAACATATCCGAGTAGGATAGTGGCAGAGAGCTTTTACTTTATTTAAAGCATGTCCCGAAAATTCTACATAACCAGACACTCCGAATCAGGTACGTAGTCCTGCCCCGCTCGACCACTGTTCACAGAGAGACTACTTGACCTACAAACAAATCTATTTTCTAATACAAGAAAATTTTCAATTCTTCTATCATATGAAAATCCTTCAGGCCCAGCTTAATTAAGAAGCATAAGATTCTAAAAAGAATCTTTACAATATTCCCTAGGTCGAAACTGACTGTAGGAGTATCAATCTAGTACCCAAACATCTGATGCTCCTATCATGCGTCACTTCGCTAAGGCAATCAGAGCTGAAATACGACCAATGCTATGACTGATAAATGCCGTAAGTACAATTAGTGGGAAATTGACCTACAAATCGGGAGGGTGACAAACTATGTGAATTGCCTTAAGAACTCTGTTGCCACCAAACGACCTCGTGTGTTCACCGACAGTTTGAGTTCGCTAATTTCTTTGTCAATGCCCTGCAAGGTGCACACACAGATACTTCGTTAAGGACATACTTCCCACCCAGCGAAAGGCACTTCCAATACTAACGCAAGCTTATAGTTTATCCTCAAAAGCATCTGATTTCGGTAAGAACGAAAACACGCTACATTTCTGCACTTAAATTCATCTCCTTCTCACAACCACGGTATACACGAGTAACAAAGATGAGCTTCCACCTCCATGAAGGCCACCACAAAGTCGATAAGTCTGTGTTTAAACATCTCTTCACAATGAAAGTTCGTGATTAAGAAACTAATATCATAGCCCTGCACCATAAAAATAATAGAACAGGTGCATTAAGAAGACGGCATAAATATATCAGTCATGCGCTTATAACTAGAACTGTCTTGGACCTAAAAATGAAACTAAACTAAACCTTTCGTCATAACTCATGGAGCGCTTGCACCTTAACAAAGCGTTGTATACAGCGCTGAAGTTTTGGCATACTTCAGTTCTTCCCACACTTGTGACACAGAGACACGTGATACACAATAATTACGTCATAGCCAAATTCACTTTTATACTCGAAGTAAACTGCAGACATACCTGAACAGGTTTTCTCCGAAGAACTTGAAATGATTCCGCTCTCATTGACAGGAACCGCAAAAACTTTTTGGCTAGAATGTTCTCCAACTCATCAGCTTGCTTCACCTGAATTCATATGGGCATATAAAAAAATTCCGTGAACCAACATATCAGATGGAAGAAACTGCCAATAGCTGCAACCTTACACAATACTTCAGCAATCCAGGAAAAAATTCGGCAAATTCACGTGAAAACATTGATCGCTTAGGAGACGTTCAGAGTGGGTCAAAGAAACCTTGATACTGATGCGTAGAGAGTTTATAGATGACTCTATCAAACATTTTTCGGACTCATTTCTGCATATGAGAATCTGCATCATATCAGAGCACATTGGTTGTAAGTGGACAACAGCACAGCCTTGTAATCACGAACCAAAGAGCCATCGAGAAAGCAACAACTACGGTCCTACCCTGCAAAACCGATATCACACACAAAAGTCAAAGAGGGAAAATAAACAGCATAATTGAAGAAATAGGAAATCTCTGAACAGCCTATAGACAACAACATAAATAATTAAAACGGAACTCAAGCATAACTGTAACAGAAGATTGAAAATCATCACCAAACGTCGAAGTTTGACTTTGGCTTAGAGATGTGGTGCATTACAAACTTACTGGGTTCAAAAGAAGCTCTTTACATGTCCTGCAGCAACACACAACCCACATGAGTGTACATCAAAATTTCAACTCACATTTAAAGCAGTTCACCAAGGAAAAGTCCTATAATACAGTGTTCCCTCAAAGATTACATGATCTGCTACTTACATTACTGATTCAAATTAAAGAGAATATAACAACAGAGGCACCGTCAACACTGTGGCCACAGGGCTGAAAATAAACCAGCATCTCATATTTTGAGTATTAGTGACCACATGAAAACTAGACCAAATAAAGAAAACAAAAACCCCATGAAACACAAAAGCCATAATCATTCCTGGTGTGTAACATGTTAGCTTGCTCGACTATATTCAGGGCTCCTACAAACCTCAATTTTTGTCCCTTACGTCTTTCAGCCTATTTGACCAAACCAGTGCAATTAAGTAAAAACGCAGAAGAGGTGAGTCAAACAACATCACAAACGACGGCTCACTTGAATTCAACTTCGGGTTTGTTGTGTCGCTCCACTTCTTGACAAGGAAAATTCTGCACATAAAAGACATCGCTCCAAAACCTTAGGACATGTAAAGTTTACAGACTTGACTCCAGCTCGTTTGACTGATTCAAAATCCAAGCCTAAAGGTGACTCTTCACATGTATTGAATCATCCCACCAGCTGCAATGACAACACTAGACTACTGTTTCCGCAATAGTATTACTTTGCCCATAATCATCCACTTGGAAAGCAAGGTCTATAATAAGAAGTCACATCCTCATGTAAGCAGATCACTCTCCGACTTGAAAATGAGGTACAGCTATGAAAGGCATATAAATTCAAAAATGACAAATAAGGTCAGCAGTACCTGAAGGCACATGGCTGCTGTGAGCGTGTTGCGGATGCATGTCAGGTAAGGTCTCAAAGTGTTTGCCTGTAAAAAAGTGCAAGATAAAGTGATGGAGATCTTGGACATGTAGCACGTGCAAATATGTAATTTAAAATAACTAACCAATCCGAAATTGGGCGTACACTCTACGCTCAGTCCAAGAAAACACCTCAGTTGAGCGATTTAACGTCTGGAAGCTGAAAATTGAATTCAAGAAGTTAAGACTAAGGATTGGATATTAATAAGTCTAAAATTACGTGGCCCCAAAAGGTAAATATTAAATAAGATATTTTGGTCTTAATCCATGGTCTTAACTCAAAAAACATTACCCCTTTCTGGGGAATTACACTTTCATGTCAAGTCCGATGTCTAGCTCAATAAAATAAAACAAAATAAAAAATTAAAAAAATGCTTCGGGCATTACTGCTGGCTATTCCATAGCTATTATTTTTATCCTCACTACACCTTGTTTCACCCTCTAATCGTTACTTTCCAATCTCTTGAAACCTTCAAATTAAACACACGATTAGATTGAGAGAATTTAAATTTGCATCTAGGTCCAGAATTTTTAAACTTTCAATTAGGATTCAAAGTATGTACACAAAGATGCGTGCAAATCCAAACCACATATCACAGGCTAAAGTTTAAAACACAAACTTCTTGAGAAACATACTGGTAGTCGCCTCATAAAAATCTTCCGAAAGTTACCAAAATCAATGCAACAGATGTAGAAAAAGCTTCAACAACGTCGCAAAATGAAATAATTCAGCACTGACCTCTCACAAGTGCAGTGCGAGGCATAAAATTCGTCCAAATTTACACGAACCTCGTCACAAAAGAATTTCTAACATTCCCACGCTGCAGCTAAAGACTTGGATTGCTGTGCATGGCTCTAGCTTCGACAAGAATGTAGAGACCTAAAGAACTGATGCGATCATTGCTTGAACCCGCTGTACAGAGTAGAGGCACTTGGCATTTCTAACAACAGACAGGGACGGAGGGTATAAATCTCAATTCCAGGTTGAACATCTGAAGTCACTATTCCGGAACAAAAACGAATTGGAGAGTCACAAAACAGGTCGCAATGAAGGAGTCGAAACAGCCCCGGAACTCACAGTCCCTAAAAATACCTAAACTCTCCCATCAGTCGTGAGAGTAGTCCCACCAGAAACCCTTCAATCTAAATTGATCGAGCCTGCAAAGACATGTGCCAAGTGCAATATGTTAGGGGAAAACACTAACCATGTTTCAAATCCGGTAGCTCAGTCGACCACGAATTCAATCCTCGTCGCCAGGCTCACCAGACTTGCAATCAGGTCATAATCAACCCGCTCCCGAATGAATTCAAGCTCCAACGCATTGGCTCAATTGGAGAGTAGTAGTAGAAGACGAAGACGAAGAAGAAGAAGACACGCGCCTTCATTGAGATACCATAATGAGCAATTTGTAAGAGAGCAAACGACAACGAGCGAGCTCAATCGCGAATGCCCCGCTTCAACGAAAGCTTGCGATGGAACAGAGAGTGCTCCGAGCCCTAAATCTGTACTGCTCTTCGTTCCTCCCTCCCTCCCTTCCTTGCCCGTTGTCGAAACAGGCCTCCGTCACCGAGATGTCGCAGATTCTATTTGGAATCTGAGCTTAGCATGCAATTCCCAGGTGAAACATGCCTGTGGATGCGATGCGAGGCTAACAAATCTCTTCCATTCCGAAGACAACCTTCAATATATCCAGTAAGAATACACATGAATTCGCTTTTCAATATCTGAACCTAATTTTTCTTTTTTTAAAAAGAAATGAAACTAAATTCTGCATCATTTATGTGTATTGCCGTTACTATAATTTTACTATTAGAGTATGCTTTTGCATAATTTTGATTATCAAAAACAAAACTTTAATTAATTATTGTAATTACAAATAAATAAATAAAAATAAATTGCACTTCTAAAATGATTAAATATTTCATCTTTTTTTAATCTTTTCTTCTTATGATATTTTATGATTCTATTTTTTTTTCTAAATGTATTCTTATACCTATTAATTAATTGTTGTGCTATTAAGAATTTACTCCTAGATTAGGCATTAGAAAGGTTTAAGGTTTAAAATAATTTTTTATTTAAATGGAGAATTTAAATAAAATTAATAATATCTATAATATACACTTAACTTGGTAGTTTACATATCAAAGGCAATAAGAATAGCTAAAGGGAGGATATTTAACACTTTGACACTTTTGTCATAAGTCAATTTGTAACTTAACAATTTTGAAGTTCAATCAAATTTAGTTGTGATTTGGAGAGACTTATTTAGTACCTTTGAATGTTGTCAAATAATTTTATTCCTTGTCAAATATTTATTTTTCAAATACAAGACTAAACATAATGTTTTTCCCCCAAAATTAATAGATCATAGATAGATCCTCTATCAAAAAAAGTTTTGCACTCACTATTGTTCTAAGCAAAATTGTATACAACTTAATTTTAATAAAACAAAAAAACAAAAAAAACAAAAAACAAAAGGTTGATACAAGAAAAAATTAAAATAGATACTTTGTTCCACATGTAATCCAAACATGCTTTTGGATTCAACAAAATAATAATAGTAATAAAAAAATTGTTATTTCAACACAACCTTGTTATATGCTTATACTATTTTTAATTAGTTATTTCAACTAACCATCTTTTTCTTAAGATCTACTTATTGTCTTACCTCAATCTAATCTAACTTGGATGTCTAGTTTTTAAATAAGTTATCTTTCATCTGCCATGGATCTTATTAGTCAAAATTCTATGTATTGTTTGGACCTTACTCTAACCCAACTTAAATATTTGATTCTATGGTGAAACCAATAATTTCAACTAGCATTAGATTTTTTGGTTTGCATCTTTATATTATCCAAATCCATTTGATTCAAATCTACTATTTAATTAATTACTATTACTTGATTAACATTGTTTCCATTTTATTTGAAGTCTATTTCTAGATACTTCTAGGAAATTGGTTAAGAGGGCTAGTTTTGGACTTTAATATCTTATATAAGTGACAATTATTGGTACAAAATTAAAAATATGCCCTAATAGCATATTTTAATATAAACATATAGAAATTTGGTTCTATAGTTAGAATTCTCTAACTTGTTTGAAAGATCAACTAGATTATTCTTATTAGAATATCTATTCCTAAAATATTTGGCATGATTAATTAAAAGATAATCTCAAATTAGGCTTTGTTTGATAGAAGTTTCAATATTTAATGGAAAGTACAGATGGTTTTTTAAGCATTATTAAACTTTTTATCTTTCATGTAGTAGGCAAAGAGATTCATATGCCAAATTTGAATCTCAAGAGTTGGTGATCACTTCTTGGATGCTAATAATATCCAAAGACTAGATCTTTTAAAATGTAATCATAGTAGGTAAGATTTTATTTAAATTTTATAGTAGAATAGTGGTTTGTATTGTTTCTAAGATATTATGCTTGAATGTGGTTTGGAGTTCCTTTGCTTTCAAATCTTATTACTAATTATGTATATAAAATATTTTAAAATAAAATGGGATCTTTTTATTATGAAAATAATACAGTTGCATCGTGGTTTTAAGTTTACCCATGTAAATCTTCAAGTGTATCATAAAAACTATTGCAAACTTTCAATGGATATGAGCCTTATCAAGAACAAACCTCAAGTTGGTGCACTCCATATCAAATATCTCATTTTAGTATTTTATTGTTATTATGTTGTAACATGGCTAAAATGAAAGAAAAAAAAAAAAAAAAAAAAAAAAAAAAAAAAGATGATGTTAAAAAAGAATTTAATTAAAAATAGAATAATAAAAAAAAATTAAAAACATAGGTGAAAGTTACAAAGGTAATAAAAATATTTCAGCCCTAATTTTCCCTCTTTATAAAAAATACTTCTAATAATTTTGTATAACTATAAATAAAGCAAGTTAATAAAAAAATTATAGATATTTTTAGGTGAAAAAAATAGCTTATTAGAAAAATTATCTAAAATAATCCTAAATTGATATTTAAAGAAAATTAATTATGGATCAAAGTTGAAATCAAACCATGAGGCAAAAAATTAAAAATCTATGCCAAATATGGGATTTTTTTATTTGTAATAAAGGATTAATATTAAAAAATAGACTTAAGAAGGTTTCATTGAATATTGGTTTTGTGTGATTTCAATAAATAATGACTTTGTGAGAGCTTTGCAAAGTTATGGTTTTTTTGAATGACTTTGTTTTTTATGATATAAAAATAGTTTTATATTTTAATAAAATTTGTGAGATTTGTAGAAAAAAATTACATGTGGAAACTTATGAGTTAGTGATCATAGTTGTATTGGATGTTCTTTTATAAAGTTGAGCTATTTAAATGGTTAGATCAAAATTCAGTGAAATATAAGTGGATTAGGATCTTAGAAATTGGATTGTGATGGGTAGTAAGGGTTTCTACAACATTGAGCAATTTCTTGATTAGATTGAAATGATTTCTTTGTGAACTAGTAGTTGATTTAACTTTCAATATTTATACAAAATATTATATTAAATAAATGGTTTACATGGAAGCTATTGATATTGGAAGATTGATAGTAATATTAGAGATAGAAGATAATTGACACTTAAGTAGATTATAATATTTTTCTTCTAATATATAAGTTTTGTTTTTTTCTAAATTTTTATTTATTAATTTTAAATAATTAAAAAAATATATAATTAAATATTTACAATCAAAATAATAATTATTAAGTTATTAAATTTTCTATAAATTTTATTCAAGATTTTATTGAAATTTGTTAAGATTTTTACTTAAGATTTGATAAGAATATAATTAGGATTTTTTTAGATTTTATTTAAAATTTTATCATGGTATAATTAAGATTTTTTTAAGACCTATTTGGATTTTTAAGGATTTCTTTTATTTTATTAGGATTTTTTCAATATTTAATTAGAATTTTTAAGAATTTTTAAGGTTTATTTGGAACGTACTAGAGTGTGATAAGATATTTCTAAGATTTTTCTAAAGTTGATTAGGTATATTTAGTGTTACAAATATCAATATTAATACTAGTAATTAGAAAGATAAGAAGAATTAGATGGAAGCATGTAAAATTATGTTAATTTAATATTATCTTAATAAAAAGCTTCTTAGTAGCTTTATAAATATAAATTTGACTTTATAAGCTTTTATAGATGATTGATAGGTTGAAAACTTAGCCAAGAAGTTTTCCATGAATTGCACATATTGACTACTTATTTTATAAGTTGGCCACATAATGCATATGTTAGAATCTTGCCTTGCAAGTTACACAAGTGTTGAATGGTCTATAAAATATTGTTGTATTTCTCTTTAAATAATAATATATATATATATATATATATATACATATATTAAGATAAAAATGTGACTTTTCTCACTCTTCTCAATATTTTTCTTACTTTGAATGTAATTTCAAGAATTTATAGTCTTCTTATATTTAGCAATAGCTATTCTAATTTTTTTCAATATATATATATATATTTTTTTTTAGTTTATTTATTTTCATATTTTTATTTGATATACATCTTATTTTGTTTATTTAAATTATTTATGTTTTTTCCTTAATACATAGAATAATTAGAAGCTTACTTAGATTGTTTAAGATTGTCAAAAAAGTGTTTCTAAACATGTTATATATTATTTTTGAATTATAAATCCAACTTCAAGATAAGATCAAATCCTTCCATAGCTAAATACCTATTGTATTTCCAAATTAATTTTTACATAATACAACATGGCTACTAATTGGCATGCCAAAGTAAGAATCAATGATTTAAATATTTTATCACTAACCATTTGCACTTAAGTTTAATGCCATTTGTTACAAAGAATGTAGTTTTTTTCTTCAATGGTAAAAAATTTGACATGGTTGTAGGCAATGGTATAAATAACGTTCATCACATCATTGATTTGAAAACCAATGCTTAAAAGACACTCTTAGAGGCTAAAGATGATAATTAAAGAAATTGATGGAGCTTTTTAAAGTAATGGAATAATTAGCAGATTTATGTAAGTGCAATAGGTTGTTGTACATAAGTTGATTATGTCAAATGAAGCACAAAATTGTTTTGGTATAGCATACAATAACAACATAAGAATCTTTTTGGTCAAAAGAAGATTCTTTGGTTATACCAAAGATATAGCAAATTTTGGTTGAAAGGTGGAGTATTCATCTATAAAGGTTGTTCTAGTAGTAAGATCTAAAATGACAATTGTTAATATTGGCTAGACATTCTAAGTAGACAACACAGCAATTAGATTATAAAGATTTAGTAACATCTTTTTTAATATTAGTTCATATATATATATATATATATATATTATAGTAGCATTGGAAATGTAAAATTTTCGATAAGAGTAGTGACAAGGAAAAGCCAATGATTGGTTGTCTAGCTAGCATCATTAAAACCCATCATTATCTAAATTAACAATAATACCAAAGTTATTGATATTTTTGATGTGATTTGGGACATTGTTTTAAGATTGCTAGAAATGTAGATGTCTATTGTAGTTTGGTATCTTGTTGTAAGTTTGCCAAAGTGATTTTTTTGAAGTTGCTTTGTGATACACTTTGAAATGTATTACTTAAGAATGTGTGATCTTTACAAGCACTTTAGCAAGAAATCAAAAAAAATGCATAATTATTGTTAGTATTCTAAGTTGGCTTGATAATTTGTAGACTAGATAGATCAAAGACAAATAAGATAGAATGTAAATTATAAAGGTTGTCAAAGAACTATTATATGTTTTTTGGTCCAAGAAATTAGAATTTATGTTATTAAGAAATCAAAATGAGGATTGTTATGAAAAATGAAGGAATCTAATCTAAGTGTTTTTGCTTGCATTTAATATTACACTAGTTTTTTGGTCTTTAAATGATAATATTCAACCATCCAAAGTATTGAGCATTTCAAGTGTAATAATTGTTGTTGTAATTTTAGTTGTGCCAATTAAGATGTAAAATAGATATTATTTATAATCTAAGATTCTATCTACTTTTATATTAAAAATACTTAAATTAGAAAATATTATACTTATATATAATATAAGTCACTATAAAAATATACCTTTAAGGAATTGATAAGCCTTCTTAGAGGCCTATGTGATACATGCACTTTAAGTGAAGTTTTTTTGAATTGAACATCTACTTTATTAAACCATTAAATGCATAATGAGAAAAAAATAATATATAAACAAAAATTATCTCCAAAATGTTTAAAATGCCATTAGTGATTTCAATGTAAAAGTCACTTTGATAGTTTGAGATTTTAGTTATGTAAACTAAATGAAGTATGTCTTTTAAGATTATGATAAAATTTATATTTTTTTTGTTTAATTTTAGGACATGAATCATAAAAGATAAAAATAAATAAATAAAATAATATATCAACAATAAAATATTAAAAAATACAAGAAATGTAGAATAATTAGTATTAGTAATAAGTTCAAAACTTCTTCTAGATTGTACCAGTGAAAGTTAATATGTTAATGAAGATACTTATTTCTATCACATATTTATAAAAATTCATTGTGTGATTGAACATTGTATAACTAATGCTTATATTTTGTATATGCTATTGTTATACATATGATAAATATGCTTTATGTTGACATTCCAGAAATATTAAGTGAGGGCACAACTCTAATGTCGCAATAAGGTTAATGACAAGGGCAAAGAAATAAAAGACAAACTGGAATCAAGTGTAATAAGGAATAAAGTAGAAAGAACGTAGAAGGTGAAAAATTCAAAACCTATTACAAAAAAGGACAAATCTGGCAAAGGTGCAATGATCTACACAAGTACTAAGTTGGGATTTTTTTGAATTTTAGAGATGAAAAGAATTTAAAAAAAAAAAAAAAAAAAATGGATGTATATAGAGAAGAAGAAGAAATTTTATAAACATTTTTTTCTTCCTCTACTCCATTGTGTACTTGACTATTAATTTGCCTACTATTTTGTAGAATTTAAAGTGGATCTATCAAAGTAAAGAAAAAATGAGATCAAAAGAAAACTAGTTAATCGAAATATTATTCATATTATAGTATATTTTGAAATACTACTTAAATAAAAATTAATGCATATTGTTTTGACAAAACAAGCACAATTATTCTATAATTTTTTATAATTTTTTACATACAACTACACATTTTAACATGACATGATCTATGTTTTGAACTTTCAATTTTATGTTGCTACTTTTTTATTTAAATGTATAATTCTACATATTTTATTACTATTTTTGGAAGTATTGGTGATATGGTTTCCACCTCAATACTTACTTGCTTGCTTCCTTTCAGTTTAGAGTGTATCCACCACAAGAGGTGCACAAGGAAGGTTCTATTGCCTGCAGTGCAACAAGTGAAAGCTGAACCTGTTCAGCTTTCATGGAAAATGTGTTGAACATTGCCCCTGAGGTGCACTCTACGTTCTTGATACAGGAAACATAGGCACATCCTATACTTATACTGCTGTTCGAGCAGAATAATGCAGTTGGTCTATAGAGCCTGTACGGGCTTGACTTGGTGTCTTAGTGTGTTTACCCTTGATGTTATTTTGTGCTTATTAGAATGTCCCAACAGGAGCATCGCGATTGCGTCTGGCGCGACTCCGCATCATCGGACAACGGAAGCCACATCGCAGACGCCACTCCTGCTGGGCCAGTCCATTACTTATGGGTTGCGAGGAAATTCAGACACCATGGCTGCGAGGACGAGAATGAACACGATGCACGTATGTGTAGACACTTTGTTGCATTGGAAGTGGACCTCAGATCCAAGCCCTACTGATAGCATTCTCGTGGACTGCATGTATGTAGTCACGACGTTCGGATAAGCTCCGGATGTTTCCCTTCCACTGCTGTCACCTCGCCCGCAACGCCGCCATCGCACTTCGGGCGCCTCTCTTGGATTCGGACCGTTGCTGCGACTGGTGTTTTGCCAATGTCGCCAATTCGGACGTGCAACCTCGATCGTTTGGGACACTCCAGTCGCCATGCCGCTGGTTGCAAGCATGATTTGCAAAGTGATGATCCGGAGTTTGATGAGCTGCAGCGGCTGCAGGTTGCATGCAGCGTGCCCTATCCAGAGCTTGCAGTTGCCGGGATTTGAGTGGGGAGGAGGTCGCGAGCGGTTACAGCGGGCTGGGTGACGAGCCGTGGGAGGCGGGGACTGGTGGTCATGCAAGTGAGTCCGAATGGGGATGAGTTTGGGGGCGAATCCGATGAGGATGACAACAAGTAAGCGAAGAAGACGTCGGGAGAGATGGAGATGGAATTTCTAGAGGCTTTACAATCATTTTACTTTGTTTCGAAACCAATTATGCCAAATGAGGAGTTCGACAACCTGAAAGAGGAGCTGACGTGGGAGAGGAGCAGCATTGTGATTAACTCGGACGAGCAAAAGTTTTTGGAAGTGTCGCTGTCTTACGCTGCTGGAAAGCCCATCCTGAGCGATCAAGAATTTGACGAACTCAAGCTCAAGCTCAAGCAAAAGGGTAGCAAGGTGGCCATTGTAGGCTCTCGCTGTAGCCTCAGGAATAAGGAGTTGAGCGATACCACAGTGGATTATCTCAAGATGACATCGTGGATTTCTTGGCTGCTCTTATAGCCCTAGGTTTTGTCTTCTTTCTGGATGATATCACAGGGATTGAGATTACATATTTGCTTGAATTGCCCGAGCCCTACAGTTTCTTCTTTACATCGTGTTGCCGACCACATTCTTGGTGGCACAGCCTCTTACGAATTTGGTCTTGAAGGATGCTCTCATCTTGAATGGTCCATGCCCGAATTGTGGAGCTGGATTAAACAGCTACTTCGGTAGCATACAGAGCATATACCCAATGAAGGATCAACTAACAGTGTCAAATGCGAAGCCTGTGGCTCCAACATGATTTTTGATAAAGGAACACGCCTTCATCACTCTCGTGGACAGTAAGACTCCAGAACCGAAGAAATCTACCAGGCCAAAAAGGCCTACATCGGAGAAAGTCTCTTCCTCAACTTGAGGAAAACGCTAGTCTCACGAACGAAAGAATCCTGCGTACCCAGATAATTGGGCCCAATTTCAGAAGTTCCAGTCCAAAAATACCTGGTATTCATCTTCAAACTAACAGATAGATATTCGGCAGAGCAATGTAGGTCGTGGCTCTATTTATAATCATGATTGTGAACGCATTATCACCCATTGCAGATCCATATGCCAAGACTGTCCACCGCGCAGTGAAATTTGTTGCCTAATTTCATACTGATTAGTCGATACAGTTGATAACACGGAAGTTGCCATGATTTTAGGACCTCCATTGCCACCAAGAAATGGAAAGAGGCATACTTTATATACTGAATGTTTTTTTCAATGTCCGCTGATTCGCAGAAATTCTCTCAAAAAACACATTATTATTGATGTTTCTTGCGTCGTAAATGCTAAAGTAAGACTGCATACCGATATCCTTTATGATTACAGAGAACTCAAACGTGCACTTTCTGTCTGCGTCCTCAGAATGCGTCGAAAGGAGAACTGAAAACCCCAAATTAAAAAATTTCAAAAAAGTGCGACACGAACTTTAGAGTACTGTATAAATCATCTTGCATTACCAAAGCTTTGATGATAATATGGCCGACCGCTTCGATTGATGCCATACACTCCATCACCATTCACTTTCCTGTTGGCAAGCAACAACTTTTGAGCTCTATCCCTTTCCTGCTGCTCTCGTCGCACCCTCTCTGCTCTTAGCTCCTCCATTGATTTCCGCCCACTCTTCTCTCTCTTTTCCTTCTTCGCCCGATTTTCAGACCTTCCAGACTTCTCCTCGCTTCTTCTGCTCCGCTTGGAAGGCCTTTCCTCTGTACCCAACCATCAATCCGCTCCATTCGTCAAAAAGATGAAGGTTGAAAACGTAGTTCATAATAATATGCATCAGGAGAAAAAGGATTCAAGAGCAGTGAAAATAAAATATGTGATCACAAACCCTAACGACATGACAGAGAAGATCCCAATACATCAGGGAGGGGAAAGCGCACCAGGGCTTCTTGATCTCGATATGCGCGATCCGACACCTCCATCGCTGGTTCTCTCCACCATAAAACGCTTCGTAGCATACCAAGGTTTCTTACCACTCTTCCCGACAAGTCCACAACCAAATTCATATCCTTCATCTTCAGGAGCGCGATCCTTTGACTTTTCCATCTTCTTCAACTCCCGTATGTCCTGCTTGTCAAGACCTCCTCTAGTTCCTACTTTCAGGTCGTTGATCCAATCGTTGTTGCCTTTGGCTTTCGCGGTTCCTTGCTCAGGTTGACCAGCAATTTCAAAAAGGTTGAAATGCTTCGCTCCTTCAGCTTCGGCCAGAGCCGCGACCTCATTCTCTTGTTCGTTTCCCAGCAGTGGCTGCTCTGCTGTACCTTCGCCGTCTGCAACTCGGAATTCACAAGAACCGTTCCTCTTCGCTTGTGCAACTTCCCGCAGCTTCTCGAGACGTAATTCGGCCTCTCGTTGCCGAGCTTGCTGTCTCTCTATGGCCTCTTCACGAGCAGCTTTCTCTTCATCTCGCTTAACCTTTTCTCTATTATCGAAATTGTACACGTTCCACCGCTTCTGCGGCAGGATGTTAAGACCACCATGGCCTCCCATTCTGACGAAACTACTAATTCCTGCTCATAACAACAACAAACAAAAAAAAAAACAAAATCCTCCTAACTCCCACGTATTATAATCAACTTCGAATCAAATCACAACGATGGCCCCAGCGCTTCCGAAGCACCTAAACCCTCAACATAATCCCCACACCACATTCATATCCAAAACGGAAAAAAGACGACTCCCAACCACGAAACCCTAAGGCGACAGGCTCTTCCACCTGAAACAACTCAGCAATCGCGTAACGCCCCCCTTGAAAAGGAAAATAAACACGCATCCTAACAAACCTCTACAACTGCTCTGGGCAAAAACTCCGAAACTCTGCACAGAGGCCACGATGATCCTGCAAGTACCGAAGCTTCGAAGAGACGCAAACTCCCTCAGTAATCAAACCATAACGAAGTATCCATTAGTCCGGAGCAACAGCGTCGCCGCACGTTTGCGTCTCGTCCTACGGGACACGGGCAGCCGAAACTTTTCATCCTACCCGATGATAATTTCGAGCCTTAACTTTATTTTTTGGTTAAGATGGTGTTATCATATACGCAGACATTTTAATCATCTACCCCTCGAAACATTTTCTATTCTGAATTTGTGGTTAAGGAGTGACCTTTCATGCAATGTTCTTGAGTTTTCTGTCAGCTGTATTTTGGATTTATTCAAATAATTAGAGGTTTATTCAACTTCATGTCAGTCAATATAAAATAATTACCTACACTATTAAAACTGTCTATTTATAAATTTGATGGTAATTTAACTATTTACAAACAAGTTGGAGAATTAAAAAAAACAAATTAATAAACTGTCATAAAAATGATTTTATAATCTTAAATAGGGTATTTCAAATTTGATGGTTTTGTATGATTTCATTGAAAGTCCATTGGTATAAATGCTTTGTTTTTATACATGTACATGGATTTTCAAATCAAGGCATAATTATGTATCAATCTATAAATCCGAACATTTGGAGATTAAATGACTAATGCTTCAATCATAAATAAATGTCTACTTTCCATTAATTTCATTTGAAAGGAACAATTTTTATATATAAATATTTTGATGTAAGAAGAAACAAGTAATTACAAAATAAAGATTCAATATATGTATATATTTGTATATATATATATATATATATGTATATATATTATATAAAAATATTAATTTACAATAAATAAAAAACAAAAAAGTGAAACAAACCAAGAGAAGTGCCACCAGGACAAAATTACAAAACAACAATGAGACTTGAAATACTTAGAAATAGTGCATTACAAACATTCGTACAATTCACAAAAAAGTCCACTTTCACTATTTTTTATAATTATCGACAAAAATAAACATGATTTTTTTGACAAACTTCTAAACTCCCCAATTCTTTATGTGAAGTATCAAAGTTCCTCAGTTTTAATCGACATCGACTCCTCTTGCACGCTGGTTCTGAGGATCGCCAGATTAGGGCTTGAATGAGAGATTGACTTACTTTATTCTTCTATTTCTTGCAGGTGCAAGCGGTGGTTTTAGGGTTTCGCTTCGCTGGCATCTCCTACTTATTACCCACCTTGCTTGCAGACTCTACGCAGTAATTCGTTTCTTCTCGTCCTCGATGCCAACCATCGCTTTGAGGATATACAATAGGATTGTCTGACCTCTGCTTAGAGTTGAGTGTTCAGTTTGCAATGTCGTGAACGTAGCCGAGAAAGTTATTTGTCAGTTGAATTTGGTTTCGTGAGGGTTATCTGTCTAGGGTTCAGGGTTTAGTTTTGTTGCTATGGGTGGTTACCTCTACGGGCACTAGTTGCGAGTGGTGCTGGGACCTTGTTTGGCAAGGAGAACCTCCTCAGTTTACCATCTGCATTTCTATGAATGCTTCTGTCTTTCTGCTAGCTACAGTGTATTGGCCCAATCCTGTTTTCGACTGCTTGGAAAACTAGTTTGCTTTCCCAACCGAAACAATCTACAAAGAGTCCGGTACCGGTATTTGTATCAGTAGCAAAGTTGACGGGGGTAGTATCCTTGGCTGGGTGCCACTCCAGCAATGTGGAGGGCCATTGCATCCATGTGATGTCTTCTTAGCCGTAGAGTCCTCTGTGAACGTCAAGAAAAGAATTTGTTCGCACGAGTGATCCCCTGTGTTTCTTGTGCAGGAGGTTTATCTGTGAACGCAAGATTGCATATTCCATTTCCCAAGGGAGCAGCGTCGCTGCAGTTACTCTGCGGGACAGACCATGCTATCTCCAGGTCTTTCTGTGCGTTAGATTTTCGTTATGATAAGGTTAATGGTTACAGTCACTGTAGACCAGCCAGAGTACCATCTCTCGGATTGCGTGCACAACTGGATGGTGACAACCTCGTCTTGTGCCATGGTCTCAATGTCTAGGAGGTCAGTAGCGTAGAATTTTTTTCTGTACAAAAAGCAGAGGTCATTGGTACCCATGAGCTGACCTCTCGTCAGTTACAGGTAGAGTGGGAGCATCAGTTTCACGTGGTGAGCCTTTGCCGAAATGATGGTGATAGGTTCAATCCATGTTGCGACACTGCTCACTTTTTGGAAGAGAATTATGATTTAGGATTTCTGAATTAGAAACTTCGATACGTCTTCTTGGAGATGTGAATTAGAATCGATGTTCCGTCGTTGACGCAGTTACGCAATCCCGTGTGTATAACGCAGGAAGTTGAATGGCGGATTGCAAGAGTGTGGGTGAGTGGACAGTTCGGCAGGTGCACATGTCTGGACCAACCATCAATCATCACTTTTACTAGTACCGTTTGTTTAGACGTGGATTCGGACAGGATGTTGTAGCATTGATGATCTTAACAACAGTTTAAGCCAGTTCTGCTACTGACGACATGTGAATCAGAAACTGGTGAAGAACTGAGCTTTTGTGGATTGACTTGTCAGTGCAGTGGTGTCCACGGTGATGACAAGAGAATTTCGTCAGTCTCATCAGACTTGATACGGGAACAGAAATTTAATTTCGCATTCCCTGTGATAGTTAACCCGCTGATCTGAGCGAACACCTAGTGGATTAGAGAGGCAAGACCCAGGGCGAGAGTCGGTTAGTACCGTCTCATGGATGATCACAGCTGAAATCAGAGAAACCACGCGCAATAAACCTGGAAACAGTAAACGATCTAAACTACAAACAAAATATCTTGCAGAGCTGGGCACGCCGTGAGACATTCAAGAGAAACAGGCGTGGGAGCTAATGCGAAAGGAGTAGCCACTGACATCGTCGTTTTCTAGGCATTCTGAAGCGGCACGTTTACCAGCAGGCAGCATTTCGTTATGCGATGGCTCGACCAATTCGGCCAGTGCGACTGCTGTAAAATTGATAGAGATCATGTGATTTAGCCGATTTTTCAAAAGCATGCCGATCTCTTTTAAAAGACTTAACTCGGATGATAACGAATTCGCCTTCGAAGGCTATTAAATGAATTCTGAAGTCAGCCTCGATTCGGGGTTAGCATCATTCCAGTCTTACCCGATAATCATCTGAAAATCTGTCAAAGCCCTCGGCTGTACGTTAACCTTCGGAAAGGCCGACGAGGGCGGCGGCTGTGGGAGCGGGGAAAAATTCCATCTCGAGGTGGCGCTCTACCGGGCATGGCAGATCACAGTCCAGGTGGGCTGAGCTGCAGAAGTACAAACACTGCCGCTCACCCGAGCGCCACAGCGAAATGGAGTCCAAATTCATGGCAATATGGGTGCAGGCGAACGTATTCTGCAAAGCGGCATGCCCCTCCAAATGGAAACCAATCTTCCATCTCGACTTCCTCCACAGAAACCTAGCCAACTGACTTCAAACCATCCAGACACCCACAGCAAACCCGACACAGTTGCAAGATGAACCCGGAAATGAAGACTCACCTCAACGAAGTGCAAAACACACTGCCTCCAACGCGCAACCAGTGACCCAGCCACACCCCACCTCTCCGCAACAATCCGAGGGCGTGATGGAACAACTTTCGTCCCAAATTAGTTTACCAGGACCATCCCAGAGGCTCCATTCATACACAAAGTTATTGTATCGGGACACCCACTCCAGTGTACCAAGTGCCGAACATTCGGAAACCAGGCCTTAGAGTATAAACCAAGACCACCCAATGAGGGGAAAAGAGAGACAAGCCCCCCGCAAAGAATAAGGAAACCACCAGCCCCATCGGATGCCATGGAACACTCAGAATGGAGGAAGGAGACCACCCAATCAACTCAACCACACAAATGAAAACATTAAAGCAGGGGGGGGGGATCTTTCCCACACCAACACGCAAGAACAATGCACTAACCCGACTCCACCGACAACACACAAGCTGAAATTGGTGATTACACAAGAAAGAAGCTCAGACCTCGAATCCGCCCGTCCCACATACATGATCTTCACCGCCACGAAGCCACCACAAGACGGAGGAGAGACATCAACTAACCACCAACTTCACCCAGCAAGCAGAACCAAGACACCTACAAACGAAAGCACTGACTCACAACAGCACCAACTCCACATTGTGCACCACATGGAGGGGTTTCAATTTGTTTGGAGGAAGAAACAATAGGGAAAAATCCACTTCCAACGTGAACCAACAAACATAGACCCGGAAGAACCCATTGAGGCATAGAAAAGGGGGCATCGAACCACAACGCGTCCCAGAGGGGTTACTTTGTACTGTGCCATTCATCCCACATCCCAACACCCAGATCACACGCTGCAGGATATTCTCGACAGCGGGGGAAGTTTTTTGCGAGGTCCTCATCAACCTCAGCACCTCAAGGATCCAACCGATTGCCCATAGACAAGTATCCACCCTAGAAAATCACACAAAATGGTCCCACGCACAAGCAACGACGCTCTTCCTCTAAGAAACCGCAATGGCTCTCTTGAAGATAGTTATCAACGCACACAACATCGGAAACCCATTAAAAAAATATGAGGATGCAATATGGAGATACTGATGGGAGAAAAACGGCTATAGAGAGACACATTATGACTGCGTGGCCTTCATCTCTACCACCTCAAACACAATGAAACTCAAAAGACCAGATCATCACATTTGGATTCCAATGCACAGCGCGTTACGTGAATTTTCATCGACCACACAGAAAGGAACATTGAGGCCACTCTCAACACAAGCTGAGACAGCCACACAAACACTCCTGGATAAAAGCCAACTCGGAGACGACGTATCTTCCCATAGACCTGACAAGAAGAGAGCTAAATCCAATGCAAAATCGATAGAGGAACAAGGAGGACATACAGAGTGCACTACCCTAGAGGAGGGTGTCAACGACAACCCCATCCTTCTCGTATGTCACAGGACAATATCGTCCTTTCAACTCTCAATGCAGGACACTCGGACAAGGCATCTAGGGAGTAAGAAAACGCACCGAAATAAGCAATCAATTTTGAAAGGCCCAACTCCAACCAGAGGTCATCCTCTAACAAGAACTACAACATACGAGTTATGTGGCTGTTTCAGCTTTTGTTGAGAGTGGCCTCACAAATTGCATACATCTTGGATCACTCAGTTGCATTCCTCTCAATCCGTTTTGGAGGAAAAAAGAGGCCCAAAAAGGCTCACTTTGACCAAAAGTACATACACGATGCAACGAAGGGAAAATTCACAAGGGCACAGAAAGACGCAATGGACAACACAGACCTCAAAATCCTAAGAGAGAAAGTCGCGATAGCACTGGAACAGATATGACGAGTAAGCATCACATTAAAAAAAAAGAAAGGAGACAAGGCCGGACCCTGTACTCAAACCAATTCCTCGCAATTGAAGAAAGGGAGAACCGTTTCCAAGGAGACTGGACAGACTTAGAAGCCTAGGCCAGCTTCAATAAAGTCCAAGCCACTTTGGAAGAGCTCAGAAGAGGAAAATTAAAAGAACAAAAAACAAAACAGCAACATTATGGAACAAAGTGGGCAACAGATGCTCGAAGGAGTTTTTTAAATTCCACAAAAATAAAAATACAAGGGCCAACATTGGGGAATAGGTTACCACGGATGGTAAGGGCCTAACAACACAAGTAGACGTAGCCAACTACATCCACTAGTTCTATACAACCATATATATGAACGATCCAAGGGTCAAGAACAACCAAGCGGAGCAAGATCGTTGTCTACTGAGTGTGCTGATGATGATCACTTGTATATATAAAAGGAACTCACTACCCCCATCTCCATGATGAAGGTACATAAGGTTACAAAACACCTCCTGAAGAATAAAGCGACATGAGAAGACACCATCTCCATGAAATTTCTCATGAAAATATGAGACATTGTGGACCAGGACATCACCAGGCTCATCAATACCATTCTTAGTGAAGGATTTCTCTATGGAGCCTTTAACAACGGGCTAATCAGCCTCCTACCAAAAGGAGGAATAATGTTGAACATAAGGAATTATGTATTGACAGTCAGTCACATACAGATTGACAACCAAAGTCCTTGGCAAAATCGACTCCAATTGGTGCTGCCAACTTGCATCCGCCCTACACAGAAAGGATTTATAAAAAAAATAGTATATCCTAGACAACGTACTACTGGCCCAAGAATCGATCTATTGGGCCAAATAAAGCTAGTAGGACAGAGTGATATTGCTAATCAATTTTTAGAAAGCGTACAACAGGGTCAATTGGACCTTCCTCCAACAAAAAATGAGGAAAATAGGATTCTCAAAGGAATGGGTGAAATGGATAGCTGTATTATATTGGAAGGCCTAATTGGCCATCCTAGTAAATAAACAAAAAAGTCAAAATTTCATATTGGATAGATCAGTCAAGCAAGGGTGTTCACTAGCACCCTACTTATACTTGTTCATATCAGACGTGTTGTCACACATGATCAAAGACTCCACCTATGCAATAGATGACCTTCACCTTCCCAATAATAACATGATCCATGATCAATGCTTTGCAAATGACATGACCCTCTACCTCAAAGGAATCTCCAATAATCTGCAACGAGCATTCTAGGTAATCGAGCTATTCTGTGCATCCTTGGAATCATTGATCAACTGGAATAAAACAAAGGGACTATGGATTAGCAACAACCCAAGGCTATGGAATTGAGAGGAAGATAAGGGCCTCATATGGTTCACTTGGGGCATACACATCAAATATCTAGGCTTCATTTTTGGGGATGAAATAGCCTAATAGGAAAATGATGAAGCAATCATGTATCAAATCTAAAAAAAAAGTTAGCACAATGGTTGAACAAAAATCTCTCCTTCTTAGCTTGGATGCTTGTATTGAATTAGGTCGTACTCATGAACATATGGTATCTGGCATCATGCAGCGACATCCAATAAAGAATCTTGACGAGGATAAGAGCCCTCATCTAAAACTTTACATTGGCAAAAAGTCCAAATAGAAAGACAAGGGCCAAAATAACATGGGATACAACAATTGCCCCGATAGCCAAAGGAGGGATCAAAATATTTAATCCATTGGACTAAACAAGAGCCTCATTGGCCAAAATGATATCAAGAATCCTAATCTCAGAAGAAGAGTCTTGAAAATCCCTCATCTTGTACAAGATCTAAAATACATAGCTTTGCAAACATGGAGACTAGGGCAAACATGCGGGCTTGATATTCATTGCCTCCAAAATACGGTCATAAGGCTCAAGTCTCTAGTAAACAATATGGATTGCATGGGCGACGGGCGAAGGAGGGACTTATCATAGGACTTGCTAACACGTATGCCAAAAATATGTATGAGCCCCTATTCTTGAATACAAAAATCACCATAGACGATAATGTCAACTTGAAAACATAGGCCAACTCAAGGTTCCACATATGATGTATCAATATGGTTAATAGGATGGAAGACATATGAGACGGCCACCAACACTATTAGCTAATCAATTAAACAGTAAGATGCAAGACATAATCCAGGAAAATTAAAACACTAACATATATTACACATGAAGTGGTAAAATGAAACTTCATACAACGTAATCCCTCAATTCATGGAGAATGAGTAATGTTGAGCCATAAGGCACTAGTCTACTACATAACAAAAAGTGGATCCAAAGGGTGGAAGGACTCATGATATGTAAGAACAGCCAAAATGAACCAACTCAATAAGATTGACAACCACATGATGGTATTTATAGATGCAACAAAGAAAACAAGGATACTCATAAGAAATCAGCTTGACAAGGCGATGGAATTTAATCCAACCAATTTCTTCTATAGAACTTGTACAATATGAATGCAGGGAGAGGGCCTCACAAATGGCCTCAAAATCAATCCAAAAGAATAGATGTGGTGTAAATAGGGCTAGATGCCGAGCAAATAACTTTTCAATTACACCATGAAGAGAGGATATAGAACCATCCTAATGCAACAATGAACGCAAATAGAATTTGATAGCATGATGGCAAGTTGGGGCTTCTTTCCAGCCGAACAAATGTAATACTTCGCCAAACTCTGCTACTTGTAGCTCCTCCACAAGATCTTTACTGTGGCGAGGCTTTTGATCACAAAGAGCCTATCCATTGAGGAATGGAGGTGAAAAATAAAATAAGACAACCACAACAGCCTCTATGTAAGCTAAATCCCAAAAATGACAAAGCACGCATTCTTTGTGTGTCTATAGGTCACATCAACTTGCAAAAATATATGCAACTGTCAAGAGACTCTTAGACCTAGCCACTCCCAATACTACCTAAGAGATTGTACTCTAGGGCACCTTCTCAATTCAAATAGCCAATAATACAAAAACATAGGACAATTCCACATTCTGGGATGCAAGCAGCGTGTGCTCTATTTTTAAAAACATACCATAGAACATCCTATGATATGCCATCATCCGATTTATATGGTGCCAAAAATGCAAGCAAGATCTTAAAAAAAGGTGTTTCCACCTTGGGATGGCACTATATTGAGCTTGACAAACTATGATCTAAATAGCTATTGGTTCATGAGCAAAGCTACAAAAATACAAACACTGCGGCTCACTTAAGCACCATAGCAAAATAGAGTCCAAATTCATGGCAATATAGATGCAAGAGAATGTCTTTAGTGAGGTAATATACTTCTCTAAGTGGAAGCCGATTTTCCACCTCAAATTCCTCCCTAGGAACCTAGCCAACCAACTGTAGACCATTCTGACATCTATCGTAAAATTGGATGCAATTGCAAGAAGAATCCAAAAATGAAGTTTCACCTTAACAAGGCATAGATCAAACCATGCCCATTGGACAGCCAAGGGTCCAATCACATCCCAACTCTTCACCACGAGTCAAACATGCTAGAGAACAACTCGTGTAGGCAATGGCAGAAGACATCTTAGTACATATCATGCACGACATTGAACATTCAATGGAAGACCAATCCTCACAAGATGAATTAAACAAAAATCCTAGGCATCCACCAACACAGACAAACAACATAATATAAATAGCCAAAAGAGATCTGGATCTCAAAAACCAAGCAACTAATTGCCAAACATGAATCAAAATAATACTTGGTGAGAACTTGGATACTTGGATTTCAGAAGATAAGAACAAGAATGAATACTCAAATCCAAAGAGGGTAATACTTGGGTTGCCGCAGGACAAAATACGTAGGTTTTGAATTAAAAATCCCTTAATTGACAAGCTTTGTGTATCAACATAGAATCTTTTAGCCCTAATGCAATTTTTTATTTACTTTCAATACAAGCCATTTTGGCACATTTTAGCTCATATTATAGAATACTTGCTCAACATGTAAGATGCATGGAATTGATATTCCACTTCTTCATACCTTCTTCAGTGTAGTTGGTTAGTGCTCTCGTTTTAGTACATGGAAGGTCTTGAATATAGCTTTGAATGGAAACAACATCTATTCTCTTCTTTGTGGTAAGATCAGCTCATGCCTTATCAATGCATGTTTGTTCACCCTCCGTTGGATGTATCTTCTTTGCTATGTCTCACTCCACCCATCTCTCTCTCTATACTTGTCTTTTTCCTCTGTAGCACCTATTTCTATCATGTCTCTTTTTGCCGCTCTCTTTCACCCATATTTCTCTTTCCTGCCCTCTTAGCCACACTCCATCAACTCTTTACACAATAATTCCACTTTTTGCATGCTTTCTACTGCATGTCAAGCTATTGATTGGAAAACCTACTTAGGATCAAATATTCTTAGGAAATTTTGTAGTGTTGATTTTATACCTATGAATTGTAGAATATATATATGACTACCAATACTTGTTCTCAAGGTTTTAAGGTTTTCAACGAGTTTTTTGTTATTTGTGTTTTTTATGATTCATGATGACTAATAGATAGTCATCAGAGTTATGGAGTAAGTGATTGATATTTTATTTATTTTATTTTTATTTTTTACTTTTTATTGATTTAATTATTTTAAAAAAATTATTTATCTTCCTAGATTTTTTTTGATTATGTTTCATATTTTTACTCTTTTTTCATTTTTGAGTTTCTATATGGCAATCTTGTAACAATGCTTTCATTCATTATATCATTAACCTTCATACTTCAAACTTGTTGATCATGTTACTCTCACTTACCACTTCCACACCACTCCTACTTATATAGGTAGTACCTTGATCATTTTAAAGAAGTGGGTGAACACATAAGCCTATATCTATCTGTGCTTATATCCAACTAGATCAATCCCCATATGGATATATAGATTAACATAGCACTTGTACAGACTCCTTTGTAATAAGAATACGACAACTCTTTCAGAGCAACAAGATCAACGCCAAGATGCATCTTCCTAGAAGTCAAATAATTTTGTACTATGTATTAAATATATTGCACTCAACAGACAAACAATGGCTTAATACCTCAAAATGATGGACTAACTCAACCATCTATTAAAAGATTAATTCATTTATGCATCATAATCTCTATTTTTTTATTACAAGATGTAAATATTTCTAAACTCTGTCACATAACCTCCTATTCCATGAAGCCATCACATGTATCACTATTGTCACTACCCCCAAAAGAGTCTATAATTTGAAAGATGGTAATTTAAATGATTGGAATCATTGATCCCTTTATAATGCACACTTAATTTGCTCAAAAAGACACTATGTCATTTGGTCTACCCCAAAGCTCAATTACAATAACACTACTTCCTAAGGTAATGAAATATGCAATACCATATCTATAAATAAATCCATTGTACACAAATGCACAATGGGCCTCTCTAAAAACAAGTCTATCTTTGACATTAGCAAAGGACTTTGTCACTATAACTACAACACATGGATGTTGCACCTACTCCATGGTGCTAATGTAGCATCTTGCCAAGGTTGCTACACTTGTCATCTCTTCTACTCCCAAAAAGATTGGCTCACATATAAAACACTCCACATAAAGATTGTCAATTGGTAGTGCATGCTTGTTCTATACAAAGATTCAAAACAATCCTTTTTGTTCTATCACCATCCTCCCTCCTATCTATTCTTTCAATACACCAAGCCTCAATCAAAAAATGGTGATAGCTTGAGCATCACAAAATCAGAAGCTTTGGATATCATCTTCATCTATGGCTTTGTCATCACACCTCATTGCAATTATGCCTACGTAGACAAATAAATATTGTCTACTCTTGAAACATTGTAGCATCCACTGAGAAGCCCTAGTTTACATTGAAGCATCATAGAAATGGGGGTGCCTTTCACACTCATGAAGCGAAGCAAATCTTGGGGAAGAAGAAAAAAGATGGAGTTGCCTTTTGCCTTCATGAGGAGAGTCTCAGGTGGAGAAAAGAAACAAACACATTCTAGGGCATGGTGATCTAGCTTGTCCACATCAAACCATAGTCATGAGCACACTGCACATAGGGTGGAGTGATGTTGGACTGAATTAATTATCACATTGTTTGCTTTAACAAAATTGGGACGTGGCTTTAACAAGTTCCTATATATATTTCATTTATTGTTAACAAGAACTTGTGTACAATTAACCTTTTGAATACATGCGTCATTCAAAGAACACAGTCACTGACAAAATATGAAAATACCCCCCCCCCCACAGAATACGAAATCTATCTGTGGGGCTTATGCTGGATGATATCAAAGCGTAAAAAGTAGTTGGCACTTTTTGGAGGTATTCTGTCAAATCCAGCTCAGCCCGTGCCGCACTTGGGGTTCAGGGGTTTAGGGTTTAGCGATGCCCGTGACACCCTCGCTCTGTGGTGACGCCCACTACTTCGCAGCCTTCAGTGGCACGATTCACCCAATTCTTTTGAGCTGGGTTCGTACTTCTAATGTAACCTTTTCGATTATTGTAGGGCTACCGAGATTTGCAGTTGTAGAACGCTTCGTGGCGAAGATCATTCATCGAAGTTGTCTGGATTTTACGCTGAGGCATTTGAAGCTACAATTGGTTGTTGGTCGATCGGATTAACGCCGGATGTCTGAGGATAGGTCGCGCAGTTGTTTGCTCATCTACTGTGCTGTGATTGCAGAAATGGGAGCTTGTTCATGTGTCATTCTTGCACGCATACAGTGATTTGACAAGATATCAACCATGAGACGCGCACTGTTTGCGGGGCGCCGCAAACTCGGAAGCATTGAGGTGGTAGCGAATTCTGCCACCCAGAAGAATCATGTCTATTGCAATTCTCGTGAAGCACCCTCGACACTGTTATCGACCGCTTCGTCCGAGGCGTCGAGAGACGGCATTTGGAGTCCCAAGTTTCGGGACTTGCTGAAAGAGCAGGTGAGACCGCTGCATTGTGGCCATCGTAGGGAAATCAACTCAGCGATCCAGGAGCATCAATCTTCTGACAATACGCAATTTGTTTCTGAAACTGCTAGCTTGTCCCGGAAGAGTAACTCGGTAATTGAGAGCTCCAATTACTTCCATGGGGTTCCTGCTGTAGAATCTAGACGGGGGCAACAGAGTCTGGACATGGACGTTGACAGTACTTGCCGAATATTGGCAAGAGGTTGCTGGGGATTCGATAAGGAGATTGCACTGGCAGGATTAGGATTAGGGTTTCACCCAAGCTATGACTGGAAGGTGTTGCAAAATCTGAGTAATGTAGATATGGCATACAAATTCTTCAAATGGGTGCGCACTCAGCGGGGAGGGGTGCCCAGCGTTCGAGCGTGCACTACCCTCGTAGAAATGCTTGGAATCGCAAGGCGCTTCAATGAAGCAGAAGAAGTCCTAGCTGAAGTTGAGAAATCTAGATATATATTGCAACCTCGGATTTTTATTGAGCTTGCCCGAGGCTATGCAAGTGCGGGGCTGTTGGAGAAATCTGTCGAGGCCCTAAAACGCATGGAAGGCCATCGATGCGCACTCACAGCCTCGGCGTATAATTCTCTCATTGACGCCTTTGTCAAAGCAGGCTACACTCAGAAAGCACTTGCTGTCTATAGAGTAATGGGGCAGTCAGGTTTGCGACCTGATACGTACACATTTAACGTCCTTATGAATGCGTTTAAGAAAGCCAAGAGGGTTGATTCAGTGTGGAAATTGTTCGAAGAGATGCAAAATCAAAATTGTAGCCCCAATGTAATCACGTACAGTATACTGATAGATGCTGTCTGCAAGTGTGGGGGAGTTGAGAAAGCTTTGAAAGTATTTTTGGATATGAAATCTCGTGGGTGTCGGCCTAATATCTTTACCTACACATCAATGATTGATGGGCTGGGCAAGTCCGGCCATGTTGATAAGGCATTTTTTCTTTTTGAGGAAATGACCTCGGAAGGTCTTGTCGCTACCAGGGTTGTCTATAACTCGCTCATTCATGGATTAGGAAGAAGTGGTCGGGCGGACGCCGCAGCGAAATTATTTAGAGAAATGCTTTCAAAAGGTCTGCAACCCGATCATGTCACGTTCACCTCTCTTGTATACGGGCTAGGTGTTGCAGGGCGAGCAAGCGAAGCTCGTCGGATATTTCAGGAAGCGAGGGATGTTGGCTGTGCATTGGATGTCAATTTGTACAATGTACTGATTGACACTCTCTGCAAATCCAAGAGACTTGATGAAGCATGGGAGATCTTTGGAGAATTGGAAGGTGAGATCTTAAATCAGTTTCATCGTAACTGTGTAGACTCGTGCACTACATTATAAAGAAGAACAAAGTCAGGGTGACGCGTTTTGGTTGAGTCCACAGTTTCGGAAGTATTTTACTGTCGATGTTGTTGGTCTATGTTTGGATTTATATTTTTTCAGCCTGACTTTGTTGTGAAGCCGACCGCTTGCTTGATTTTTACGAATTTCTCGGCTTGTTTTCAGAGGATGGGTTGGTTCCAGATGTTTACACGTTCAACGCTCTTATGGACGGGCTTTGCAAGAGTGGTCGTATTCACGATGCCTTTATTCTTCTCGGCGACATGAAACGTGCTGGATGTACACCAGACGTGACAGTGTATAACACGCTCATTGATGGACTACGGAAATCGGGCAGGGTTGAAGAGGCTGGGCAGCTTTTACTTGAAATGCAGTCGTTGGGTTATGAACCCGATGTAGTCACTTACAACACACTCATAGATGAGTCATGCAAGGGTGGTCGCATTGAGGATGCGTTGAGGCTGTTTGAAGAAATCAGTGCAAAGGGATTCGCTAATACTGTTACGTACAACACTATTCTTAATGGGCTTTGTATGGCAGGACGTGTTGATGAAGCATATAAATTGTTTAATGGGATGAAACAGGAGACAGTTGACGGTGTGATCGACCCTGACTTTGTCACATATACCACTCTTTTAAATGGTGCACGACAGGCCGGACTGTCTGAACTTGCCAATTCGTTGAAGAGATGGAGGCATAGTGCAAGAGTTTAGGCTATGCTTATGCCATGATTGTATCTTCATGGAGAAGACTACCGCTAACCATCACTACGTGTAATGGAGAGGGTTTTGCTTCTTGCAATTGAGAATTTCAATCATATACATGCATATAGAACAATACATGGTAAGCTCCTGCCACTTTTTGCTTCTCCTGACCGAGTCAAAGATAGGTATTTCATGAAACGGTGGAGTTCAATAATAACAATCTGATTACCGCAATCAATCTGATGAGAGGAGTGTCTGATGGTTAGCATGACAGGGTTCGGAACGTAGGTATCGTCTTCAAGCAGTGCTATTTATCCATCTATCTATGTGCGTATATATATATATATATATATATATATATATATCGACCAGGGGCTTGGTGATGGTTATTCGTGTGGGTATCACCCCAATTTTTCTGAATGATGCTATTAAGAGCTCTCCAAATGCCTCAAACACTCTGAAGAACCAGGTACGAATGGATTCTGTGATCGCCAACAAATTGCTATTGCTCTTATTAGTGTTTTTACGAATGTCAGATCAATACCTCATGTCTTGTGCTTATGATCTCGTTGTCCCATTATCAGATACTACTCATGGTTCATCGCTCTCGTCAAGGAATCGAGTATCTGATAGTGAAGATCCGGCGAGACTCAAATGTGGATGCATGTTGTAATCAGAAGGTGATCAAGTACTCAACTCTTTAATCACGTTTTCAAGGAAAGATTTTAGACCATCATTCTTATTTACCCAGTCTGAATAATTAAATTTGTTGTTTTGAAACATTAACCGAAATAAAGTTTAAAATACATTTGGATTTTCATGCGTAGGCTGGACTTCGTTTAGTATCATCGTCAGCAAGTCCGAGGACTTTTGTTGATGACTGGTTACAGTGCACTCTCTATTTTTTCTTTTAACATTCGCTTTTGTGCCCGAAAGTTGTGAAACATCTTATTTCATCGTACACAATTTCAGGTTCTTGGCATCTTGATAAACACGCCTCTATGTCTAAGTTGACCTTCTCTTGTCTGAAGAACACCGACTCAGATATGCACCAAGACTTACATAATATAATACACAAACAAGTAATTAAAAGAGCTATGGCAATTTTGCCTTCATCAAGATAGTCAGGCTGGTCGGCTACAACAAAGGCTGTCCACATGCATGTTGAATTTTCATGCCATTAGTCAAGCTTTTTTGACAAAGATGCAGAATATGGGCAATTCTTGCATTTCCTAAATAAGATATTCTTGTAATGAAGAAGCTTTCATTGACATAAGCAGGGACGGAGGGGAATGCCTACAAGTTTCAGTCCAAAGTCTAAGCAACAACCAGTAGGACCTACAGGAGTTGTTTTCCATATTCATCACTCAATGTGATGAATAAACGTGGATGACACTCGGAATTATTTGTGCTTTTGAGTTTCTGGAACTCCCTTGTATTTTTCCACGCGATGATTGTGGTAACTTATGCTTTGTCTGGTAAAAGACAATCATGCATGTATGATGTGTGGTTGAGTACTAGATGGCTGCTAGATGGCATCATTTGGTGTAATTGAGATCTTCCACCCAGTGCGCTTCGTGTTCTAAAGATCAACCGTGAAAATTAAGGATAATGCTTGAGAATGTGTTCTATGTGCACGAATCCCCTGCCGTCAGCATGCAATGTGAATCGTTTGTATCCGCTTTATTAGTCCTAAAGCATTCTCTTAACTACAGGTGCATTAACATTAGCGTTGAAATATATGAGTACTGTTGCTTCAGTCCACGGTAATGATAAGACCTGTGTTGAAGGGATTCCCAATGAGTATGTAAGAAATATGATTGTTTGCAACAGCCCATCAAAGTGGGCTAAGGGAAGACGTTTTTATTATGGAACTTGTTGCATCGCCTTCTAAACTGAATAGCTTAACGAAGCTTCAGATTTAGTCATTCGAAACTGTCGCCGTGCTTTCTCAAGCTCACAACTGAGGGAGCAGTTGGATTTCAACCTTGGAACAAACTCTACCGCGTTACTATTAGAGTTAGCGAAATTGGGTCTCACCCAACGTTGAAGACTTTTTTTCAATTGTAAACGACTCCCAGTTTTTGTCCTCAAGACAACCGACGCCCCACCAACCTCATGCTGTGGTGATTCTTGAACCCGCCACCACAGTGAGCGCCTGTTCATTTGCTCAGGCAAGGCTGCTCACAAGATGGATGTTAGACAGTTCACCAAATCTTCCTCTCATGTCAGTGATCCATCACGCCTTTTTGATTTGCCCCCATCGTCATTTCCAAGACGCACACGACAAGAACCTCGGTAGGACACTGTGCTCCATGATTCATGGATATTCTTGACCTTTGCAGAAATTGGCAATTATAGAACGACTCTGTGGTCCAAGGAGTGACGAGAGTGAGGCCTGCTTTCGATCTTTCATTATTGGCTCCTCTCAGACGTAACCTGTTTCTCTGAAGATCTGCAGATAGTTAACTTAGACGAGACAAAGGTAGAGCTCTCAGTATTCCTAGTTTCCACTTCTGTGGACTGAAACCGTCAAGTATGATCATGCGACGGTGGCAGGGAAGAGAAGAAATGAGCGTATAGCCGCTTTATTTCTGTTTTGCTCTCAAGTCGTCGCTGTCTCTGTCATCACTCAACTCAGTGTCCTCATGAGTAATCGCATGCGGATATTTTCATCGTTTTGCGAGCTGCTGAAATGAGCATGTTTTTATGATTGTAACCGCAACTCGCGGTGTTAAACTAATGTATTGAGATTGACAGGCCTGGAGAATTGCAGAATTGCTTGTAGAGTCTATCGTAGCTAGCTTCTTTAGTGAGAGAGGTAGGTGAAGAACCTTGGCCATGCCCGGTTGGAGACCAGTTCGAAGACCAGTGTGCTGTCTTGGCCAGTCTCTGGAGAGGGCACTTGCGGGAAAATTGCGCAAGAAAATTGTGCAACTGTTGGATTGCCTGGGATCATGGACTTATATGAGCGACTGGCGAGGGTGCTGATGCGGCGGAAGTACGCGCGAGTGGAGGGGCGAAATGGGCCATTGACGAAGAGCTCATCCCTGAAGATTCCTAGAGACAGTAGATGGGAGAAGAAATTTGTGGCCAGTGAGGAACCCTCATCATCATCATCTCCATCGTCAACAGCAACAACAACAGCCACAACATCGACATCTGATCTACCAGTTGTGCTACCCAAACGGCGAACTCTGCGCTCTTCGTCAAATGATGTCATTGACGAAGTGTGGTTCAATCAGGCACTTCGCCGTTCAGTAGCCGAAGGTCGACTAAAATTGGAGAGCGTGTGAAGAACCCGGACATCCGCATGATTAAATCTATCAATTCCAAATGGTCTCCGAAGAAGGAGATGGCCAAGCTACAGAATACATAATTCATAGCCGGCAAAAGAGTGTGTGGGCGCTGATGAATCCTAGGATTGCACCAAGAAGGGATCACGTTGGACAACGATGAAAGATCACTTATATGCAGATGCTAGGTTAGACTTCAAGAATGAAGTGGTATGTGATAATTAGAACCTTACTATGAGGTGAAATAGCAGCGCCGTAGCTGAATAGGCCCAGAATCAGTGCTGCTGTTGCAGTTGCTGGCACGGTATAACGATGGAATAGCTTCTACAGCCAAAAATGACCGGAATCTAAGACTTGTTGGAGTTCCGGAAGAACTACCCAGGTTAATATTCAAATTCAAACGCCCTACCAACACAGACATGGTGGGCTTGAACCACAGTTGGCTGCATGTTTTATGCTCTAAACATCACGCATGAATCGCCCCTTACCAATACCTGTGGCCATATCTTCGTGAAAAAACCTCACCATGTGATCACCAATCCCCTAAGTTCCAACAAACAAGTCCCTCCTAACAAAATCCATACCAAATCAGTCCGACGTGAAGACTTTTCTACAAAGAGAGTCGCAGTGTCGCAGTGCGTCAGAGGTCCAGCATTTCAGAGCCACAGAACGCCATCTATTACCGAGAACCCAGCGGGATCTGAATGATGGAATGCAGAATACCAGATGTGGGTACCGACCAGAGACCACGTTGAATCTGTCCAGACCCGTGATGCCAGAAGCATGGATCCATGTGGGGGAATCGATCCACAGAGTTATTGCAGTTGCAGGGAAAGGGAGGTTTCCAGACGAGGAAATCTTCGTGCAGGCACTGCAATTACGAGGAGAACGATCTGCAGATCCCATTGCACTGCTCCTTCACACGATTCCTCTCCGCTTCTTCATCTTTTGCTTTTGTTTTAGATTTTGCAAGAGAAGAGTGTGTCGCAGGTTAAAGAATCCGAGACCTGATGACTGACCACCGTGTGGAGTCGTCGACCCCGCTCCGTGCTCGCGCTGCTGCACGTGGGCCTGCGGCATCAGCCCTCTGCCCACTCGACATGTCCCCCGCTCCTTTTAGGAATTTTTTTTGCTTCATTATAGGGTTTCGCCTCACAAGTTGTCATCAAATTAAAGCTTATGTGCTCACATTATTCACTCTCATATTATTGCAATCCAAGCTAATATCACGTTACAAAGTTAGAGAAGGCGTTTCAAAGTTATATATTCTTATCTGCTTTCTACGTATTTGGGAATAAATTATACATTTTTATGCTAGAAAATATAACTTAATATTGTCTGCATTGTTGATAAATTTTTATTTATTTCTTAAGACTGTGATATTTTGTTATCAACTATGGATGGTATCTAAAATACATGTTTGAAATACATTTTTTGTCAATAATATCATATATATATATAATGATTTTTTAATATATGTTTTATTTAGTTGTTTGACTAATTTAATTATTATTATTATCTTTTGATGAAAGAAGTACCTAAAAAAATTATACACCATCAATCTTTTAGTTCTATTCTTTTAACAAATATTATTTGAATTCTTTTAAATTTTATTTATTTATTTATTTATTTATAAATGTTAATTTAATTTTTTTATAACTTCATTCTATATAAAAATCCTAAGTAAAAACCAAAATTTAACATAAAAAATATATCAAATTCAAAATAAGTATATTTAAAAATATATTCATAGAAAAAGGTTTTTAATTTTTTTTATTTAACCTTTTTAATTATTTTAATCATACTAAGTGTAATTGTCAAAGGACAAGAACTTGAAGAATGAAGATAAATAGGTGAGATGTGTGTCAAAAAAAGATGACAAAAAAAATCTGAGAAAATATGTATATTTAAGAAGAGATCAAAATGACTATTGCTAAAGACAAGAAAGCTATAGACTCTTAAAACTAGACTAGAAGCAAGAGAAAAATTGACAAGAGTGAAGAAGGCCTCACTTTTTCTTCTATACATATTATCTGACTAAGAGCTATGTAGCAACATATCATAAGTCCTCAAATATATGTCTAACTTGAAAGATACATGTCTAACTTGTAAGGCAAATTTCTTATATGTCCACCACAAGGTCAACTTTTTAACCAAATTTTCAACCTACCAATTACCTACAAATAAATTCAAATTTGCATCTATGAAGCTTCCAAGAAGCTACTCTACAAGATATTATATAATTTATATATTTTTACTTACTTCTATTACATAATTTACATAAAAAAAAATTGATGTAAATATTATATAATTAGTATATAAGGAGATATATTTTTCTAAATTTAATCCAATATATTATATTATTTGCTCCTAAAATTTAGTTATTGTCATTGCATAATCTATGTATAATAAAAAATATTTTGAACTTAGAGCATAATAAAGACTTGATATTTCAATAATTAGTGTGATTTTAGCAATAAATATAATGTGGCTTGATTTTTCTTCTATCAATATCTTAGCTTGAATAACTTGATTCGTGGAATGTTTCACAATTAACTAAGGTCTACTACAAAAAGCATTAGTTGTGTCAAGATTATACAAAAGCATTATAATTGTACCAACTTTTAGCATGAGCTTATGCATAGCCACATATTTATTACAGCTTTGTTCTAAAGAAGTCTTTTATCTATAAAATTTTTTATTGCAAATCAATGTGTAATCCAATGTAATTAGGATTTTAAATTTGAAAAGTGTTATTCTATCTTTTAGCAAAAATATAGTAGCCATTTTTAAAGATGCAATTATAAAGGCAATTACATCTTTTGTGCACACAATTTTTAAAAGAAGATTTTCTAAGTAAATTTTTTTAGTTTTCTTAAGACTATTGATGAAAAAACTTTATAAACTCTTACAATGAATGGTTCAATTATTACTTGATATTTATTATGATAGTTATTATTTAAAGATTGTACCTTTAGTTCAACATCTTTAAGTAATTGTAATGTATTATTATGAACTTATACTTTGATAAATATATTGCTTTTTTATTGATTAAAAACAATGAAAGGTAAAAAAAAATGTCAAAATTTGTAAGTATTTGTTAAATCTTTCTAATTTCTTACTCAAAAGTTATATTAGAAGAATTTTAACTTGGTCTACAATAGGATTCTTAATCCGACATTGACATAGCTTATATCTCTAATCATCTAAAAGACTTCTCA